AAGTCACGTGCGTCCGCAAGTTGTTCCTCTTCTTCACGAACCTCTGCTCTCAAAAATCTTGGGTTAAGGTTAGGGTTAGGGTTAGGGTTTCCTCGATCTTAGCAATGGAGGATGTCACTGAAGCCGTTAACAGCCTCACCATCAACGAACCGCACAAGAAGAACCGCATCCAGGTTTCCAACACCAAGAAACCCCTCTTCTTCTACGTCAATCTCGCCAAGGTCCACCAAAACCCTAACCCTAGATCTCCTCTTTTCGCCTGGTTAAGGGTTCTGATTGGTTGGGTTTTGTATTGATTTGGAATTTCTTTGTGCAGAGGTATATGCAGCAGCACAGCGAAGTCGAGCTTTCTGCCCTCGGGATGGGTATGCACCAAACTTACTATTATTATTTTTTTGTTTAATATCATGGGATGATTGTGCTGTGATGGTGAATTTGTTAATGAACAAGCTAAGTTGGGGACCGATGGTTGTTTGTGCAGCGGCGTCGAATTTATATCTGCATAAATATGAGATTTGATATTTTCGTTTTGGGTGTTTTAGTACTGGAGTCTCATGTATTCGTAAAGAAGTCCCCGGAAACTTGTATATAAAATAAGCGATGCAAGATACATGGGTTACCGCAAATTAGTCGCTCTACTTCAAATCATTTAGTTTATGGCAGTTTTTTTTCTTCCTGTTTTCACTTCTAAGGTGACTAATTTGGAATTCTAAACTCAATTAAATTCACCTCACGTTGTATACTTTTAGGTGCAAGTTGTATGTGCAAGGTGCAAATTTTGACGGGTTTTGAACGAACTGTTCCCTTCATGACTGTTGGAAGTGGGGTAGAAGTTAGGGGAGAAACTAGTTGCTGTTATTTTATTTTGGGGTTACACTAACAGATCTGAAGTAAAGGGACTAGTTGGGTAGCTAACGGGTTCCAGAGGATTTATTTTTTAATATCAAACTTGAGGGACTTCTTTCTAATAGATGAGATCTGGGGGATATGTATATTTAAAAAATACCTTTTATTTGTTTATTCATTTGTAATTTGAGCTTATGTTGATGCATTTTTTGCCAAAATATATTCTACATTCTGTGCGTTGAATTTGGTACCTCCATGGTTAGGATAATTATCTTGACTTCCTACTTTCCTCCAGTAAGGGTAGATTAATGGAGGGATTAACGCTGATAAAACTTTAATATAACATGACAAGGTCAATTATAAATTTTACATAAGGATGATTTTATTATTTGCTTACCTTTTCATGATAATGGTATAGGCTGTGCTGAGATCACACGGAACACAAAAGGAGTACAGTTTGTGCGATGATTATAACTGTCTATCTTGAGTTAATAACAAATACGCCATTGATGTATGTCTGATTGTCAGATTTATTTCATGTTGACCATAGCTTGTGCACCCATGAGATACAAAACTTTTTGACAGAGTAATGCACATTGACTTTAGCAATTATGATTATTGCCTTGATGCCAATATTATTCAACCTGTGTTTGAAAGTTTTTTGAAGGACAATTACCATCGTCTACTTTATGTTTTGCTTATATAGAAGTAAACCATCAAGAACCTTCTTTTCTTTCTACTCTCTTTAAGACATAAAGACTAGTTTGGAGGGTGAAGTGATGTTTGGATCCTCTTACCTAATACTGCAATATTGCAAATTTGTCATGACGGTTTGTATGTATCGAGGGCATTGCATCTTTGATGCCTGCCTTAACCAAAAACCTTTGTTAGGATCATATAACAAGGATAGTTAGTTAAGAAAAATTGCAGGTCTATATACTCTCTGATAGAGAATAGACATAGTGATCTCAACCTAAACTTGTACCTGCTCTATGGTAAGGAAGCACTTAACATTATGGTATATGACGCTTTTCTTCTCAAGTTTGAGCCAAATTTGGTTGTGAAACCTCATTTTCAAGGTATTCAATGGTGCTCCTAGCTCTTGAATGATACTACCACAAACTCAGATTGGGAAGTCCTATTGAACATTTAATAGAAGTTTTAAGAGATGTATGTTTCTAAGTATTATCATTGTGGACCATTATTTTACGCGTTCATTTCCTCAAAAGATACCTGAAGGGACTTCAAATAAGAGTTTATCTTCTGTTTGCTTAGGACAAATTTCACGTTGTTATGGACCAACAATACTTTATGGATTAGAATGTTGGGCATTTAAGAAACATTTCAAAAAAAAAAAGTGCATAGCTTAAATGGAAATGAAGATGTTGAAATGGATGAGGAGCAATACACTAATAGATATGATAAGAAATGATTCATTTAAGAAGTTGGCTATTTCTATCTAGTACTATTTCTATTTAGGATAAAGCGAAAAGAACAGATTGAGATGATTTGGACATGTGGTGTGCGTGTTAACCAGATGCAAGGACCATAGGATATGAATCAATAAGGTCTAGTAAAGAAGGCAGTTATAGAAGATGATTATATTAACGATGATAGTTTTGGCTTTGAAGCCTATGGCTCTAGTTAATTTAAGAGGAAATGAAATGACCCTTAGCGGAAGAAAAGAATCCGTGCTTCCAGTACTTTTATTTTTCTTAGTAACAGTTAAGTTTTTAGTTGAGTGAAAATTTTGCATTTCCAGGTATTTCTTAGAGGATCTAGGTTTCTTCATGTCCTTGGAAGATAACATTCTGCATCATTGAATAGTTCTGGTTTCAAATTCTCTTGTTGGTGTAGGTACTATATAATGGAATCTCAGTTTAATTGTGGCATTTGGATAGACAGATAAATTTTCAACTTGTGATTGCTTCGTTGTTTTTTTTAATAACTGTAATGTTCTGAATGCTTCCGCCTTTTTAAGTACAAATTTTCCAAGTTATGTTTTGCTACAAGTTGGAATTGCTGAAGAATATCCATTACATAATCTCCATCATATTTTTCTTCTTCTTCTTCCTTTTTTTTTTGGCAAACCTTGTGATCCAATAGTATTCACAGTTAGCTTTTTGATTAGTAGGCGCATTTAGTAAAACAGTGTTTTATCTGTCTTTTCTTGGTTTGCATTTTATTTCAAACCATGCATTGTACCCGAAATTGTTTCTATAATAGAAGGAGCTATTAATCTAGTATTCTCGTTTGCACTACCACAGTGAGTTCTTTGACCCCAGATGCTTATATTAACTGTTCTCATTTCTCTTTACACTTACGTTTTTCCTCGGGCTTTGACCATGTTTCCCGAATTAAATTGTTCTCTTATCCTTGTTTTCTCCACCTTTAACTCTTCTAATGTCCTAATTTTCTCATCTATGATAAATTTTCCAGCCATTGCAACCGTTGTTACCATCGCAGAGATTCTCAAAAACAATGGTCTTGCTGTAGAGAAGAGTGAGATTCTTTCTTCATGCTCCATTTTCCTAGTTTTAACCCTGTGTTGCATTGTCTCTTATTTTTGTACATAAAGCCATAAAGTTCTGTCTTAAACTCGATCTGCAGAGATCACGACATCCACAGTAGATGTGAAGGACGAATCAAGGGGAAGGCCTATCCAAAAGGCAAAGGTGAGATGAAATTGTAGCGGCACAGTGACAATTTATATTTAATTCATTAAACGTGAATTTGTTCTTATTCAGATTGAGATATTACTGGGTAAGTCAGAGAATTTCGATGAGCTGATGGCAGCAGCAGCAGAAGAAAGGGAAGCAGCAGGTGGTGACGAGCAGAGTTAAAAAAGGACCAAAGTCTCATATTTGTCCTGTTATTTTCTCCTTGGCTTTTTATTGAGTTTGTTTTGATGCAATTGGAGATGTTTATTTGTCAAAGAACTGGTTTTGTCAGCATCAGTTTCTTTTCTAGGCTGTGATATAAACTTAGCAAGTGTAGTTAACTTACATAACGATTTATAAGTTCTCATTCTAAGGTTCTTTCATTTAATTAAACTGTGGGTGTTAATGATAGATTCGATTTGATTCGTGGTAAAACTCCTGCATTTATGATTTTTTTTTTTTTTGGACTGAGATTAAATATCATGCATTAGCTGTGAGCTAATATTGGTTTAATAATGTTTTGACATTTCTCCACAGTCAGTGCGATCTTGACCAGGTCATTCTAGCAAGGCAGGTGTTTTTGAGCTTTCATGGTGCAGTATATTTTGGCTAGGTATGTTAGGGTTTTTCATGTAATAGACTGCACTTTAAAATAAGTTTAGAATAAGCATATTAAAACACCAATATTTTGCAAAGGTTGTTCAAATCCTTCAACCTACAACATAGATCCATGTTAAATTCCGGTATGAACTAAAATCAAATTTCCCCCAAACTAACTCTTGTCTTCGGACTGCAAAAGGTGATAAGTGGTGCCCGTCGACAATGGTGGTTAGAGATTGCCAGAGTGGGTGGCTAGAGGCCACCGGAGATGGGTGAAGGATGTCTGTGGTGATCAGCAGTTGTTGCAGGTTACCAGGGTTGGGTCGGATTAGGAAAGATTGTCATTAGAACATACGAGATAAGATTAAACTGTGTTTTGAAGACATTATCTTATAGTACAAAAGAATTGGAGGATTGATATGGGAGTGGGGAACAAACCACCTGTGACTACTATTTCCATGCAACAACAACAATACCGTCACCTTCTATTGGGATTAGCCGCATGAATCATGTTCTTCGATTCAGTTATTAGTTATTGGGTTCTCTCTTTTGTTTAAGAGAACCAATTCAGTTCTATATTAGATATATTCTCCATTAAGTTAACTACTGATGATATCTCCATATGGAGGGCAAAATACAGGTGGAAACATTGACGCTTAACGTTTCATCAAGGATTTTATAGATAACAAGAAGTTGTCATTACGACATACCAGCCAGCTAAAAGTTGTGAATAGTTGGTTGCGTCATGTCAATGACATACCACTATACCAACCAAGAGCGCGGAGGAAAACACCAGCCATCGTTTACTCATACGACACTCACGGGGGCAAAGGAGATCAGCTACAACACTTGAAAGCCACATAAAATACAACACTTAGTGTAGAACCATACGGAGCAGTATCAACCTTTGGAAACATCTTTGCAAACGTCTCATTCAATGACACACATGAATATGACCCCGAATGTGTATTCCATGCACATCAGATCATCAGCTCAACAAATTTGTTACCTTTAACCGATGCATCAGCTCAGCAACATAATACGCCATATTTGAACTAGAGAGCAATCAAATCTAACGAGACTATCTCAAGCAAGAACATTTAATTCTTGCAAAAACAACACTCAGTCAACATTAAAAAAACAACCGTACCAAACTAAAACCCCCATAACTGTTAATTATCCTTATTCTTCAGTCAAGTTTAAACCCAAAACTCTCAGCTGGTATCAGCAACAGTCTTGAAAAGAAATCTATAAGAATGGGTTTTCATAAGTCAAGAGGAAAAAACAACAATAAGGAAAACCGGGAGGCAAAAAGAGAAAGGCTCTTTAGGCACCGATAGCAGAAGCCAAGGATTGCCAAGTTATTACCTTATGCATCACTGAATCTCACTGATCGTCCTCTTTATCGATCAGTATCTTCTTGCAAGCCTCATAACACATAAACGAAATTCCTGCAGCAGGAACCAACTTCATACAACTTGGACCCAAACCTCTATAAAGCCCACCAACCCCTTCTTTCTCAAGTATGCTTATAAGAGCATGGAGCATGTTCTTATACACTTGCCTTCCTCCAACGGCTCCCACCTGCATTTGTTTTCGAGCCACCTCAAGAGGGAACTGCCAATATCGTCGGTCTTGAATGCCTTCTTGTATGCTTTTTTAAGGGTATCATAAGCGAAGTAATTTGTGGCAGCATATGGTACTACTCCTATTAGACTTGGTGTGAGACCTCGGTAGAGTTCTGTTGGGCCTTCTTCTCGAACTATTTTGAAGAAGGCGTGCATGAGGTTTTCATACACATCTTTCTGTAATCAGCAGTTTGTATAATGAGAATAGGGATCACCATATGCTTAAGTTGAGCTAGAATGCTATTAATAGTATCTCAGACGTGAATGACAGACAAATATAAAATTTGGATTTCTAAATTGAGATCTTTAATGTTGGATATTATCTACTACAATTTAACTGTTTAGAAATAAAATTTTGGATGATTTCAAATTCCCAATCACACACCTTATGTTTTCAAAATCAACGTTTTAGATATAGAATAATATCTCATATTTAAAAGGGTTACATGCGGACAGGCACCCTGTACCATAGCCCAAGTGCGGATAGGCCCTATGTAGTTCTATTTGTGTGCATAGGCCCCTGAGTGACTCTTTTAATAGAAAAAAATCACTCAGGAGTCTATCCTCGCACTTGGGCAAAGCGTAAAGGGGGTCAATCCGCACCAATAGAATTACAAAGGGTCTGTCCACGACTGGGAATGATAAAGAGGTTCTATCCGCAACTAACCCCATTTAAAAACACAACAAAATCATTGTAAATTCTGTCAAGGTAGTCCATGTACTACACATCCAACAGTGCAGATTTTCGATTTGCAAATCCAAAGTTTAAATTTGGATTGGATCTATAGAATCTACATCTTAGATACTATCAATAGTAGTCTAGCTCAATGATATATAAATATTTGTGTAGCAGGTACCTCTATAGTCAACCGGGTCTTGAGCAATTCTAGAGGATATGTGCATAGTGTTGAGCTAACCCCAGCACATGCTCCAGCAATTAGTGATGGAGGGATGGGCAGCTTAGGTTGTTCGCCGTTCTTCGGGGTTAAGACCTTCTTGACCGTATCAAAGGCAAATAACTGCAGAAAAATATCATTAGCAAATAAAGTGACTATAAAACAGATGTGGGAATGTAAAACGCAATCTTGTAGTAGAAACCTTTACTTCACTTGCTTGAGACAAAAACATAAATGATAACAAAACTGGGGAAAGAAAGGACTTTCCAAAGCAATTGTTGGACTTAGAGCATGTTTGGCAAATGGTCAAAGTGGCTTATAAGCCATTTTAAGATGTTTAGCAAGTCGCTTATTTCGGCTTATAATCTGCTAAAAAATAAGTTAAGATACTCTAGCTTATTTTTTTGGTGGGTTATAAGCCATGAGGGTTGACCAAGTAAAAAACAATTATACCACTTACGATTACACTAAATCCAAGGGCTCATTTAATAACTCACCAACTACATCATGTCCTTTTTGGTTATTTCAACAACAATGATGGATTATAACTCACTCATCTGCCAGACACTCTGCAATTGCAAATGGACTTTAATCCACTAAATTGACCAAACACTCTAGTTGATGGTCCACTTGCATTATAATCCATTGGATTGTAATCCAAGTGGATTACAATCTAACGTTCCCAAACATGCTCTTATACCGGAACATGCAAGGCCATTAGATTGTTTGCATTGCGCAAATGAACTAGCATTATGTAAATAAGTAGTTGCAGTTTTTTACTGTAAAAGTAAGAAAATAAGTAGCATTAAAAAACAAGATGCGGGTTAATCATAAGATTGTATTTGAAAGTACAAACAACATACTCCAAGTAAGGTTCACAAATTTAGCACAGGAAATATGGTAAAGGAAAAATACTAAAGGATCCTTTTGAAACTGAAACAAGGAGGTAATAGAAAAGTGGGCATAAAAAACAGACTCAATTTTATAGTGAACAATACAAACAAAATATATATCTTGAGGTATAAGAATAGGAGTATAGACAAATAGAGAAGCAAAAATTATCATTTCATCTAAACCTACTCTCTTAAATAGAGATTAGGAGGGTTACATAAGCAGATATGGATATTGGCCAAATTACCCAAATATTTCAATAGTTAAACACATAATATCATCTAACACTCCCCCTCAAGCTGGACCATATATATTATATATGACCAGCTTGTTACATATGAGAACAAAACAACTTAAAAGAGCTTTCATCAAGTTAACTCTGTTTGGAGCAGTTGAAGAACATCATATATTTGTTTGCTTCATTTGAAGTAGCCATCAAACATGAAATAGATCTCACGAAGTAGCAACCCAAAAAGTATAATTATAGCCAGATATAACTTGAGCATAAACCAAGAGCCAAAATGGTGTTAGACAAAGATCACAACCAAATCCTCATTTTTGTGATAAATAGGTAATCAGCCAAACAAAAATAGAAGACCCTCAATAATAGGAACATATCAAGGCGAAAAGAAACCCTAGGCGGGTAAGTCAGTAAAAACCCTAGGTGGTCGGCCAGTAGAAACGCTAGACGGGTAAGCCATTAGTAAACCTAGGCCGCTGGCCAGTAGAAACCTTAGGTGAGTAATCCAGTAGGTCATAAGGGAATGTTGAAGATTTGTGCTTAAGTGATCGAAGTGGCGCCCAATCTATAGAAGACACGGATTGATTTATAGAAGGACCGGAGCAAAGAGTTCTTGAACGACTATCAAAGATGAATTTGATGCGATGTTGCGCATATTTAATGTAGGTGCAATATTAACCCGATAATGTAGATCTGATTCTGATCGGATATGAACTTATTGAAGGCAATCAACGGAAGATGTAAGAGAACTTATTAATTCAAGAAATTTTATTTGTACTAACAATGGCATGGCAATATCCTAGATGACTTAATCCAAAACAAGCTATAATATATCATATTGAAGGATAAGTTTGCAACATTATTGTTCAAAAGCAGTAACTTGAGTCAACAAGTCCACCGTATAAGATACAAGAAACAACACTGCAGTTCTATCAGTGGCATCAGGACATACTATTTGTTTATTAGTCAGAAAAAGGAACTAGTAGTTGAATACAAACTTAGATGTATCATTAATATATGTCAGCCTTTTTACTCATGGCAACTTACATTGCTCCTTAAAGTAAGCCTAACAATTGATGTAAAGAGAAAAATACACATTTTCAATGTGTTTCTTTCTTTCCCTTAAATTTCCATGTACCAGCTCCCTTAACTTCTGCGATGTTGACCGGGGAATATTGTCATCTCAAATAAATCAGGTCTCCTGCCTCATCACAGTTGAAACCACTAACAAACTTCTTCTGCATTTTGTTCTTTAGACCCCTAATGGTTAGACTATTTTAGGGTCAATTTGATTTTCAATAATTGAATAGTGTTTTTGGATCTCTTAAAGTTGAGAATAAAAAGATAAAAAAATATAATTCTTGCTATTTGGTGAATCAAAATGAAGATGCTTAGTCCGATTGAGTTTTTATTCTTTCTACCTGGTTGCTTGCATTTTGAATCTAAGTTCATGATACTTTAGCCATGCAATAGTTTGCAACTGCCTTCAAAAATCCTGGAACTAGAATTCATCTGCCCTTTGGGTTGAGCAGGACCAATTATAACAAACACAACAATGATATCCCATCAATCTGTAACTCGCTCTAGGTATTTAGACAGTCTTAATCAAATGGACACACTTTAAAAATCTATGAAGAAAAGAAAATTAGCCTCATCAAAATTCTGCAAGCTGCATGATACCAGTTATGAAAACATGGATATCTTCAAGCCGTGCCAATCTCAAAAGGACCTATACACCTCCAACAGAAGCAAAGCACGCGTCCTATATTTCACATACGCTTTAAATAAAATTTGAGGCTATATGTCTGTTCCAGATCCATAGTGGACTTACATTTAAGATCTTTATGCAATTGAAAGGATTACTAGAACATCGGCGCTTAGCTCCCAAAAAAGTCCAAAAAGAAATCAAGACCAAGGAGGACTAGTAATACAAACAATACAACTAGCTCACATTCTTCAAATAATTTAGATTGTCAAGGTGTTTGAATTATTAAAAAGGCAATAAGTAGAGATCAACCTAGTAAATAGACGTCCATGAGAAATAGTCATGCATCAAAGCAACCCTGAAATCCCTTCAAATGGTTTCTATTGGTTTTAATATCCAAGAGAACTGTTACGCCACAAGCCTATAACATCTTGAAAGACGATCTTTACGAAAATTCCATGTTATGTAGGAATCAAACTTCCGGTTGATAAACGCAAGCTTACAACCATGCAAATCTGTAAAGGCAGACCAAAGAAAAAGTATACTGCACCTGAAACATGTTTGAAGCTTAGGTAATAGTAAGTAAACTACTTTAATCTTTTTAAATCCCATATCTGACCCATGTTATAGTCTAGCACTAACAAAAGGTCCAACAACTTGCTCTTATTCATTCTTCAATTAGATGTGCACATCAACAATTGGATCAGAATTTTGATATTGTCAATTACGATGGATGTCAGCAATGACTTTGTTGCATAGACAATGATGATTAAAGTAGTAGAAGCAGCTAATGTAAAAATCTAAAAGACATCAAAACAATGAGTACAGTGTAAGCGCAATGACTGACCTGTCAACAAAATTTTAAAAACAAAGATACAGTCTGCACACAGACATATACTTCCAACAAAACTATACATCTAAAATAATCAGAAACTCAAAAAAACAGAAACATATATGCACTTTGTTCTTCCTTCGAGATTAAACAAAATCTAAAGGCTATATCACTCTAGCAGAATTGGCATGATACAACTGCTTAACACTTCCACTAACTTAACAATAGCAATCAATAGAAAATGCAATTCAAGAAATTAACCACCAACCCTGAAGCAAGTAAAAGAAACATATATCAACTAAAAATTAATGAATTCAAATACTTACGGTAATCATTGAATCAAATAACTACCGACTCCTCACCTCTATAGCCTTGCTCGGAGCAACTCGAATAACATTAACAAGATTACCCCGAAACAATCCTTTCCATCCGTCGTCCTTCATAATATTCTGAAAAACTTCGGTCGACGAATCCCCACTACTACCTACCATCAAATGTGTCCTTATTGTCTCCAACGGAGCAACCGCAGTCCTAGAAACCGCTCCGGCGAAAGCTCCACTGATCAGTCTCCTAAAAGAAGGATTCCCAATTCTAATCTTAACTCCAACTTTTTTCTTCTTCTCCAAAATTTCACCGCTCAAAACCCTAGATGCTTCCTCCACTGTTTCCATTGGAATCCCAACAGCCCGATACCCAATCTCCGGCGACACATACTTTGTCAAAAGATCAGTGCTAGCGTTGCTAACAGAGTTGTCTCTAGGGTTTGGGGAACTGGGAGAGAGGCCAAAACCCCCTATTCCCATTTGCCCAACACTTGCAAAGAGACCTCCAGCTGGGTAAAAATCCTCTTGGTTATTCCAATGAAACCCTAATCCTTGAAATGAGAAAACCCCATCTTTTTGGGTTTCAATTGCTTCAAAGCTCATCTTTCCCATGGGCTTCTAGGGTTTCCAAGAATCCAGTGATTGGAACCACAGGAGCAAATAAGCGTTACCGTTGACAAGGCTTCAAAGATGTGATTTTGAGAAGATGGATTGAAGAAAACGTATAACTGGAAGGTTTGGAATAAGATAATAATAAAAAAATTTGATCTTTCTAATGTTTTGGTGAATAATAAGAAATCAGACGAGATGGGTACCCAAAAAAAAAACTGTTTTTTTGAGAGGATGAATGTGGAGATGATTGAAGAAAAATATTACCTCGCTTGTCCTTTAGATGCGGGGTTGATAAAGATTGGATTTTTTAAGGGATTCGGAAACAAAAGGGAGGAGATTGCTAGGTTTAATCGAGTAATAAACAATGGAATAAAGGCGGGGACTGCAACCCCCTCTCTTTGTTCTGCTCTCCCCAGAATTTTTCAGAATTCCGATGGGTCTTTAGGAACGAAATTGAGATATTTAGCTTTACTATAATGCCCCCATACAATTAGGGCTTTTAGAGCTTGGTTTTCGTTAACAAAGTTTAAGTGAAAGGGTATACTTGTCTTTTTATTAAGATCCTGAGCACAACCCATGCGTCTGCCGGTTGGTGAGCCAAAGGGTTAAATTGATGTGTGTTAGGCTTGGGGGATGGGGATAGGGTTTTATAATTTATTTTGTTTTTGGATAAACTTCACAAAGCCCCCACGAACTTTGGGGTCATTGGCACAAATTACCCTGAATTTTTAGATCCAGGGGGGGTCCCATGCAAATCTGGTCAACGTTTGCCACCTTTTATGGAGATCGATGATGCAAGAGGAGATTAAATAAAAACATTATTCCCTTGTGGGGGGGTTGCGTAGAATAAGCTTTTGGTGCGTTAGAGATACATAATCGGTCGAGGGAATTCAACCTGTTGACCAACACGAATATGTTGTCGGTGCACGTACGTGAATGTGATGCCTTTTTGCTCATAATGTTGTTTTTTTTTATTTGTGAACAAATTAATGCAATTTATAACTTATTTGTCATCATTGTTTAATGCGTTAAACATAAGAAGCATACAAGTTTGACCTCTCATTGACAAGCAGCAGCACTTTGTTGAATGAAATGAGAAATCTAATTTGATAGTAAACCTCCATAGGCTAAATTCTTGGTTAATGGGTCTTGACGTTCATTAACCAACATGAATCTTCATTAAGAGTCTTGATATTCATTATTTGTCTATTTACAAAAAGGTGTAAAATTCAAATTAATAATTATACAAATTCTACAGTCTAGAATTTGCAAACCATTGTTGTGCGCAGCGGAACCATAGGCACACAATTACAAACAAGATTGGAACACTAATCAACAACCAAAACAAGTATCACAAATGCAAGACACCAGATTTTACGTGGTTCGGTAAATCTGCCTACGTCTATGGGAGCGGCACAATAATTTCTTATTAATAACAAAAAATTATAAATAAAAGAGAGGATCTCAAACTTGAGATCTCTCAAACAAATAGCAATTGATTTTAGCAATTGATTTTAATCTAAAATCAATGCTCAAACACACTCTCTCTCTATTAACTCAAATCCCCAATTAATATTCATTAACCCCTTCTCAGCAATAAATGAGAACAGGGACAAATGAGAACAAAAATCAGAAGTTCCCAAATTGCGAGAACGGAAGCACAGGAAATTCCCGCCGCCAATCTCTTCTTCTTTCTCTGCTCTCGCGCTCTAGGGTTTTCAACTCCGCTATGCCGCTCAACCTCTGCACGAGAATAGGGTTTCCCTTTTATAGGGAAACCCTAGGTCAAACAGCGAGATCCAGTTGTCTCCAGCTGGATCCCACAACTCAAACAGGCGAGCTCCTCTTTAGGCGAGCACCATAGGCGACAGGCGAGTTCTCCTCCAGCTGGCGTCCACTCACGAGCGGCGAACTCGTGATCATACAGGCGAGCATGAATCTCGCCTTCTTCCACTCGCCTTCAACCCGCCAGCAGGCGAACTCGAATCGGCGGCGACCCGACCTCGCTATCAGGCACGCAGACGACCCACGACCTAACAGGCGAGTTCCATCCTCGCCTTCAAACCCTCGTCGCATGTTCAACCTCGCCTGAACTACTTCGCCCTCTTGTTCAGGTGAGTTCTTCTACAAATCTCCACCTCAGTGAAGTTTTCCTAAAACTGAGCCGACACCAACCAAACTAAATGTCCCACTTGTTGCATTCAGTACAAAGTGAAATAATTCACGACAACGGACTCAATCCATAACAAGTCACGAACCCAAATGAGAATGAGACCACTCTCCAAACGTCGGTATCTACTCACCAAATCGGCTGCATCATAAATGACTACCTACATATCCTCTTGCTCAAGGAATCAAGTCTAGTTCATCCAACGGCCTCCAAAGGCCCTCAATCAACTAGAAGAGTTCTCAACTCTTCACCAACAAATCTGCGGCTGATAGAACTCCAAATGGCCCCAAATTGTAATGAACCAAACACCTCCACCTGAGGTGAACCAATGGCCATATTCAACCTACGTCTACCAACTGAACTCGAATCAACCAACTCATCATCTGCATCCAAATCCAAATGATCCCCAACATGTGTCACTTCAACTGGAATCCCAAACGATGCAGTATGATTTGGAGTATGTGGAGTAATCTCCACCCAATATAGAGTAGCATCACTCTCTACCTACTACGATGTCCCAACGATCTGATCAACACTCTTCACCTGTCGAGAGTCAAATGTGACGTACCTGCTCAGAACAAAAATCAGAAGCTCCCAACTGATAGCCAAACGAGCCTCTGAATCCCAAATGTGCAATCGGATCAAATTTCACATCCACGATGTGACAAAATGCTGGGTAACCAAACATCCGACGTAACCCAAAATCTGAAGCAGCTCCACCAGATCCAAAATCTCTAAACGCAGCAGTTGGCAACATATGCATAAGATGGCCCAAACATGTCGTAGCCCGAACACCAAAGCTAATACTCGACATCAAACGCCGATTCTCCTCCAGAAAGAAACAGCTCACTAAATCTGTCATCTCATCTCATCGTCCCAATGTTTCCTCTCTAATGAAGTATTTCAAATTGCTATGAGCTCGGTACAAATGCAGAAAAGAACAACAGATTGCCTTTTTACCAATACACTTCCTTAAACTGTTGTTGACTACTAGGATTTCAAACCAACGGGACTTGATTGCAACCACAAATGCCTAGTATAATCCCCAACATAGAAAACCAAATATCGATTACCTCCCAATGATGCTTCCTTAGAAAGCCCTCAAATGCCTAAATGAATACCACCTACAAGACCCCTCGATCGATGGATAGAAGTGTCAAACTCTACCTCGGTCTTCTTGGTCATACCAACGTACTCAAAGGACTTCAATCTGTAGGTCAAAACACTCCTCAACAATCTATGCATGACATAGCCAATCAAATACCCCAGCATCAAACAATGCCACAGTCTAGCCCCCAAAGAAGTCGTCATCTCTCTGTCAATCACTGTGCTCCCAAGCAAATAATACAAATTGCTCCTTCTAACGCCCTTTATCACAATCATGAACCCCAATATGACCTTCAAACGTGCATCCACCAAGGTCACTCTATAGCCTGTTGCCTCCAAAGCTCCAATTGAAATGATGTTCTTCTTCAACTGAGGAATGAACCTCACTTCATCCGATTTCTGAATCACCCCGTCACTTATCCGAATATGAATGGTACCAATACCACCAATAGGGTATTCGTAATCATTACTCATAAGCACGATATCCCCTCTTTCTAACTCCTGAAAGCTGGAGAACCAATCCCTTCTAGGGCAAATATGGTAAGAAGCACCAGAATCCAACATCCACTCAGTGAAGTTGGCAACACAAACTGATGGTAGTGCAGATAACGAGTAGCCCGAATAATCCAAATCTGAATTGTTGCCCCTAACCCTAGCAACATTCACCTCTAAAGCTTGGAAAGCTTTTTCCCTATTCTTCCCGGCTCGATCTGTCAACTTTGGGCATTCGGCTTTCCAATGTTCATCCTCTTTACAAAAGGCATACTGATTCCTACAAACTCTAGAATGTGCCCCTTTAGACTGTGACCTCCTACCACGGTTTGGACTCTTTGCTCTTACGACCAATGCCCCCGCTACAGACTCAACAGAAGTCTCCTTATCTTTCTTTCGAAGCTGATAATTCACAAGTGCAGCGGTGACCTCACTATACGAAAGAGATACCTTCCCATTATTTCTTTCGAAGCTGATAATTCACAAGTGCAGCGGTGACCTCACTATACGAAAGAGATACCTTCCCATTAATAAGAGTAAGAACGAAAATTCACAAGTGCAGCGGTGACCTCACTATACGAAAGAGATACCTTCCCATTAATAAGAGTAAGAACGAATGGCTCATATTCCATGTCAGGCAAGGAACTCAACAACATCAACGTCTTATCCTCATCTTCAATCATCATATCTACATTCGCCAAATCCGTTAGAAGCTTCGTGTAGTGGTTCATGTGATCACTAATAGAGGTCTCATTCTTCAATTGAAAGCGATAAAGCCTCATCTTCAAATGCAAGCGATTTTTAACGATCTTCGTTAAATACTTTCTCTCTAGGACCTCCCAAATCTTTTTAGCCGAAGTCTCATTCATCACATCATATTTTAGATCTTGAGTGAGACAAAACCTAATCACACCACACGCCGTTCTATTCATCTTCTTCCAAACCCTCTCATCAATGTCGTCCGGTTTCCCGTCCGACTCCAACGTATCTTCCAAATTTTGCGCGTTGAGTGCATCCAAGACTTCGCATCGCCAAAGTTCAAAATTGTTAGTGCCATTAAACTTCTCCACATCTATCTTTATAGAGTGGATATTCAAACTTTGGATGATCTTTATACACCGGAAGAACCCTCCATAACTCCTTCTTTCTCAAACATCTATCTCAAGGCACCAACAACCAATGCGGAACAAACGAAGAATAGATCCAAACTGATAAAGAGAAATTTTTACCTCCAACTAAAACTCTAACAAGAGCCTCCAAAAGATCTCACTTCCACACGATGGTAGACAAGATCACCAATAGTAAAAATCCCATATTTATCATCAAACGAAATCCTAGACGAACTTCCAAAGGTATCTACTCCTCCAAATAGCCCAAGCGTAGCCAGGAGTTCTGATACCAATTGTTGTGCGCAGCGGAACCGTAGGCACACAATTACAAACAAGATTGGAACACTAATCAACAACCAAAACAAGTATCACAAATGCAAGACACCAGATTTTACGTGGTTCGGTAAATCTGCCTAAATCAACAACCAAAACAAGTATCACAAATGCAAGACACCAGATTTTACGTGGTTCGGTAAATCTGCCTATGTTCACGGGAGCAGCACAATAATTTTTTATTAATAACAATAAATTACAAATAAGAGAGAGGATCTCAAACTTGAGATC